CCCGCGCCCGCCATCCGGGCCTGTGGCGCGCCCGCCCAAAAGGCCTTCCTGGCGCCCGCGCTTCCCCCGCAACGGACGCCGCGCGGGCCTGGCCGCCTATTCTTGCTCCTTTGCATGCCGAGTGAGAGCCTCGACCAGCCTAGGCTTCCTCTGAATTGTCACTGCGGCGCCTCGCTCCAGATTCACTCCGACCTGAAGCTTCAGAGGCTGGGGGTAGCGGACTCCAAGATGGATGTTTGAACAGTTCATAGTGGTGCTGAAAACTCCTTCGCTGAACCGCAAAATCTCAGGCACAGCCTGTCGGCCATGGTATCGACTTCTGGGGGCTGTGTCTTCGAGTTTTAGTGGTTTTGAGCCTGGAGATTTTTCAGCTACAAGTTAGTAGATCTTAACGGATTCAGTTCGTCAGACATGGAAAGGGCGCTAGTATGAAGGCTTTCTTTTTGAATTACCCTTTTTGTATGTAGGGTGTGCACTTGTGAGTGCTTTTTAAGTGGTCATCCGACATAGTTGAATTTTGCTTTTTGCAGGTTGCCGGATTTTTTGTAAGTGAAACAGAAGAGTTGGAATCAGTTAAAGTTACTTAGATGTTAATTTTGGCTGTTGATACTGAATATCGTTGGAAGCACTGAAACATATAGTTGTTGAAATTGGTTGGCAAAGCTTGATTGTCATTTTGTTGGGCTTACTAGCCTCATAACATGTGCTAGTATTAGTTTTGTTGTGTATGGGACAGGCAAAGGAACAGACCAATGTGGTATGAGGGGTTTTTTTACCACAGTTTAGTTAGAAAAAGTTTTTTGGACTGAGTTGAGAATTTTCTGTTTCAGTGTGTAGAAGTCCTTACATGTGAATATAATTGTAATATTTTTCAGTTTTTTGTAAAGTAGATTTTAAGAGTTTGTGTGATTCTTTGAATAGTCATTGCAGGTAAAAAAAGTTTCATATTTGGTATGTTCTGTAGCAAATGATATATTTTACAAGTTAAGCTAATGTTAAACTGAAGTTAAGGCATGACATGATTTTTTCAGTGGCTCAGTTATAGGGGAATGTTCTGAATTTTATTGCATTGAAAGTCAGTTTTTAAATATATTGTGCTCTTCTAAATAAGTTAAAATGTGAACACATAAAATTATATTTGTGGGAGTTTTATGTTTTAAGTAAAATCAGTGGATTGATAAACTTTTTTGATGACCCATCCTTCCAGGCTCATAGTGCTGGAGCGGATTGTTTATCTTAGGAAACTTTTACATGAGTAGAAGTTAAAGCAAATTACATAGATTTTGAAGTAGAAAATTTCTTGAAGCTGAAATATGGCAAGTTACCAGCTCAGATGGAGGAAGGCGTGGGGGAGGGTAAGATTCGAAAGAGGAAGTTGTAAGTGAATAATATATAAATGCATGAACATTGGTGAGTTTCAGATCTGGGAATGAAATAATGTCTTCAACCACCTGAAGGCTTCAGACTTTTAGAGCATACATACCTTTATACCCAAACTCTGATCTAACTCCTCTAGGCTACCAGATCTTTGTTGACACACATTTCCTGCTAGATGAACGTGAACTAGAATTAGTAGGAGGAATTTTGTGGTTTTTTTTTGGATTTTTTTTTTTTTAAGTGTTCAAACCTGTTAACAAAATTTTTCATTTTGAATAAAATTGGTAGGGCTAGCTTAAGAATGTTGCTTTAACAAACAGGAAAATTCTTTTTCTAGGGCAAGAATGAATTTCACACATCTCTCTGTATCTCAAAATGAGTAAATTTAGGTGAGCTAGTGGGTGTATTTTTTTTCCATTGGAAAGTGTGATTATTTTCATTCAAATTACTGGGTTTCAGAGAGTTTAAATGTTTCAGTGATTGTACAGATTTATAGAGAAATGGCAGAGTACTGAAAAAACTTCTGTATACTCTTTGCTGAGTTTCCCATGGTAGATTTGGAAAAACTAGGACGTTAACATTGGTACAATTTTGATGTACCTATTGACTCTTATTTCACCACTTTTTTCCTATGATGCCTGTTTTCTGTTTGAGGAGCCAGTCTAATATGCCACATTGCATTGGTGTTTAAAATCAAGTGTTAATATATATGTAGAATCCACCTTTGTGCCAGTTTAGATTAAAAGAGTTTTGGTCAGCTGTCCTGGTCATTTGCTGTGATTATAATTTGTAATTTGTTTTAATAGGGGTTTATCTTGGATCCTGACCCAAGAGTGTTCAGTTATTACCCCAGTTATAATATTGAGCAAGTCTAATCACAAAGCAGTCTTACCTGTAAAGTGGCCTAGGGTGTGGACTTTGAAAAAAGGTTTCATAGTAAATAGTGTATTTATATTAAACAAGTAAAAGTTGTTAATTTGGATAATATATAGAGAAAATGCTTTTATGTAAATGTTAACCTGTCTAGTTTGCATTTGCATTCATTTCTGTATTATTTGCTTATTCCATTTGTATTTTAGTGTGAAAAAAATGTACAAATAAATATTAGGAAAGTCATTACCTTAAGTTTAGCATTCAGTTAATCTACTCTCTAAAAGTTAGTGAGCTGAAACAAGAAGAACTATTTTCTAAAAGATCATTTTTGCTTTTCTTAGGCTATATAACCCGTGTTGTCATGTTTTTTAACTAATTGACTGTTTTTATTTGAAATGTCTTTTAGTATTTCTTGAAAGTTGGAAATAACAACCCCTTGAGTGCTTCACACTGTTTGATGTTTTCGTTCTAGACTCTTTCTGGCTTTCAAAGAGCCATTGTGAGAACTGAGTAGTTAATAATCCTTTCTAGATGCTATATACTGTGTGACATAAGCTTTTTCTTTTTCATTTCTGCAAGTATTATCTGAAATGATAACTTTCTTTTCTTTCCTTCCTACTCCTGCCCTCTTTATTTTATGTCTGAAGACTGCCCTTATAATAAACTGCTATAAAACCCTCAAAACGCATTGCTTTCAGGTAGAATTAATTCAGAGCTGACCTTCTAGCAGGTTTTTGGAGTCTATAAGTTGCATGAAAGGAGATTGCTCATTTTATAGCAGCTGGTGGATTTGAACCTCCAGAGAAGGTAATACCTATGGGTTAGTGGTGCAGCTCTATACAGACATTACCAGTGCTCCCTCCCTAGTGGATTGCTGTAGTGTGTCTTTGTTTACATCATGCAGGGCTACTTGAGATTGTGTCTTGTTCATGGGTGTTGTTCATTTAGGTGATGTTCATTGCTGTTGAGTATGAAACAGCCTGGTAGCTGAACCTCTAGTGGGTTTGCAGAAACTGTCAATTGAATGGGAGGAGATTGCCCATTTTTCTCCTGCAGAGCAGCTGATGGATTCAGTCTGCTTTTGGGTTAACAGTTCAATTCCTTACCTACAAATAGTCCACCAAAACTGTATTTAGATAAAGACTTTAGAAGACTTTCATAAAGAGTTTGAGTGACAACTTTTTATATTTTTTTGGATCTGCCTGGTATAGGAGGAGACTGTCCCTGGTGGATTCGAACCACGTGCCTCTGCAATTGCAGTGCAGCTTCCTGCCACTAGGCCACCAGAGGTCCCCTCAGTGACAACTTTTTACAGTAATGCTTGGGTCTGTATTAGGCACTATTTTATTGTCAAGTAGATCTTAGAGTTACTTAGAAACCCTAACAGATCTTTTTATCTGTGAGTTTGTGCTGAGGCTTAAATAGAAGGTTATTTTGTAAAATTATGTTTCTGAGTTTGTTGCACAAAGCATTCTAGAAACAAAAAAAAAAACCCCTAATCCCATTTGTTGCCTGGCTCATGTATTTTAATATCTTTTTCTGTAATCTTACCAGTAACCAAGTATCAAAGTATTTTTTTTAACTGTTCAAAGATTTTTTCCAATATATTCCTCTACATTTTGGTGTATAGCATATGTAGTCTTTTTTTTTTTTTGGTTTTTTTAAGGAGCCCTCATGGCATAATAGTTAAAATGCTTATTTGCTAAATGAACTCATCAGCCACCCCAACCAGGCAAGAAAGGTGTGCAGTCTGCTTCCATAAAGATTTGCAGGTTTGGGAACCCAGTAGGACAGTTTTACTCTTGTATAGATAGTTAGCTTGCTGTGATTTAGAATGGACTCATTTGCAGTGAGTTTGGTTTTGGAATTGCATAGTGGTCTCCTAGTTCATAAAATTTTCTTTGGTTTTTTATGATCCTGCAAGGTATTATTTCCTCTCATTTTTACCATGTAGAAATTGAGACTTACCTTAAAATCACATACAGTTCTAGTGTAACAATACTCAGCTTTCCCCTTCATGGTTTTAGCTTAAATAGTGAAAGTCTTAACAGGTCTTTTATTCCGTTTTCTTCCCATTCCTTTTTAAAAAATACAGTGAAATTTTTAAAATTTTGAGTTTTAAGAATGAGAATTCTTCCTTGTCTGATTCTTTTTAAAAAATTTTATCTTGAATTATCTGTACCTTATCTTTCAAGCTCTCACTTCATGCATAGTTTACAGAATACTTTTTACCTTACGTCTATTTAAAAAAATAAAACTATAAAGTTTTCCTAGGTTTGGAGATTTTTCTTCAGTAAGTTTCATTGCTCGGGAAAATGGTACTATATTTTAACCTGTGGAAATGAACAACTTTTGGGGCACCATTTAATGTATCATTTGAGTAGTTTTACCTGCTTTCACGCACTCTTGACTAGAAAAATGTGTATTGGAGGTTGACAAATTAGGCATATATCACAAACTGCCTTTATTGATGCTGTTTTGAAACAAAAATTTGAGATGGCACAGATTTGACCTTTTTCTTGTGAAGAAAAAGTAACAGTGATTGTCATTTTGTTTATGAGATACTCTGTTCTTTATAGATTGGGTTTTTACCTCCTTTTTCCCCCTCCCTTTTAAAAATTCATTTGAATGAAGATTTACAGAGACTTTGGATTTCCAGTCATTCATTGTTGCACTTTCTCCCTGCCCACTCCCACCCCCCCAGTTTACACTTTTCTTTGAAAAGTAAAAGAAAAAGTCTTTCATTGTTACACAGTCCCTCCTCACAAGTCCACTCCACTGTGCAGCCTTCATTCTGGACTCCTGTCATGACAATACCTAATCATAGATCCCTTTAAACAGTTCTCTCTCTCATGTGTTTCAATGCATTCAATACATTATTTATCACCTCTTTCTGAGTCTTCCCTCAACCCCGATGTCAGTCCCATTTTACAACAGTGACACTGCAGTATTTGTCATTTTGTGACTGAGATATTTCACTCAGCATAATGTCCTCCAGGGTCACCCATTTTGTATACTATTTCATGAGTTCTTGTTGTTCAATGCAGCATAATATTCCATTGTGTGAATATACCAGAGCTTCTCTATCCTTTCGTTTGTTGATGGGCACTTAGGTTATTTCCAACTCTTTACTATTGTGAACAAAGCCACAGTAAGCATGGGTGTGCAGATACCTGCTTGTGTAGCAGTTATAGTTTCTTTAGGGTATATTCCCAGTAGTGGAATTGCTGGGTCAGATGGTATTTCTATTTGCAACTTTTGGAGAAAGTGCCTTACTGCCTTTCATAGTGGTTGCACCATTTTACATTTCCACCGACAGGGAATATGGGTTGCAGTTTCTCTGCAACCTCGCCAGCATTTGTTGTTTGCAGTCCTGTTAAATTTTGCTATTCTTACTAGGGGGAAATGATATCTCATAGTTGTTTTGATTTGCATTTCTTTTAGAACTAGGGCTTTTGGATATTTCTTAATGTGTTTGTTGGCCATCTGAATGTCTTCTTTGGTGAAGTGTCTGTTCATGTCCGGTGCCCATTTTTCAGTTGGGTTATTTACCTTTATCTTGTTGTGGTGTATTGATTGATTTCTTATAAGCTGAGGCAGGTCAAAAAAATTCTAGTTAAGTCTCAAAAAATTAACAACATTTGTTAAGATAAAGATTTATTTTTATATATACTTAAGTAAATATTTTAGCATAAAGTTTAGTGTATAAATTTAAGTCTATTTTAGCTGAAATCCTAGGAGACTAGTAAGAAATTTGAATCTTTATTATACTTTGGGAGAGATGACTTAAGGTTGTGATTTTTGTACCACAAAGAAGTTGTATATCACAGGCCTTTAAGATTTAGTGCCTTATTTTGCTTGTATTTAGAATATTATAGTTGTAATCAGGCCTCAACCTTTGTATTGGATCCTACATTTTCTTTGTTTTTAGCATTTTCTGTCTGTCTTTCAGTATCTCTTCCTGGGTCTTAGTTTATCTTTATTTATAAAACAGATCTGATTGCACCACTTGTCCGCAGGATAAAGTCCAACTCCTGAAACCATTTACAGGCCCTGATATAAATGTCTATTCTAATTCCGCATGACATCTAAGATTTTTGAGTCTCTTCTGGATCCCATTGAATCCCAAAGTTCATGTTATTCTTCGCACGTGCGCGTGTGTGTAAGTGATATTGTTAATGTGTCTGTCCATATTCTTGTTTCCTAACTTCCCATATTGAGATTTATTACTGTATACTCTAACATGTAACATATCTCCTTTGTGCAAATGGCTAAGATAATAACACTTGCACATTGTGTTAGTGTATAAATCAGCTTAGATCCTTAGCTCTTTGAAGATAAGTGTATCTCATGGGCTTATTCATACATAGGCCTTTTAAATATTTGTAGATAGGTTCCTATGTTTAAATTGAATCATTCATCCATTCATTCATATAAATCCTTAATGTGTCTAAAGGGTCTAAATGTAAATAAATTTCTTTGAGAAACTTAGAAAAATTATTTCTTTATGTATTAAATTCTGTGGAATGGTTTGTGAGAAGAACAATACTTAAACTTTTTTTTAGGCTGTGGTTATCTCCTCCCCCAGAGTTGCTTCCTCAAAAAATTGTTTTAAGGAGATTCATGTTTCATAGATCCTTTGAGGCCCATCCATGAATCCCTAGGTTGAGAACGTCTTAGCACTCGACAGTGTTGCACTCTGGTGGCATAGTCTGTAAGGAGTTGTGCTCCTAACTCAAAGGTGGCACCTCTGACAGTTTGAATCCATCACTGGCTCCCAAGGAGAAAGAGGGTCAGATATGAGTTGGTTCTGACACCATAGCGATGAGTAATTTTGAGTTGAATAATATGAAAAGTTACCGAAAGTCACAGGAAGGCCTAGTTGGAAGGTAGGTTAAGGATTGTTTTTATTATCACAGTACATTTTTCAAAGAAGATATTTGTCATTCCCTGTGTATTTACTGCTGTTTTAGCAGAAGACAAGTGTGATGGAGTGATTAAATATCTTGGTTCTGGAGTCAGATTTGATCTAATTTTAAATCTGATCCTGAGGCATTTTCTTATTGGTGAGATGAGGATGACAACATTTCAAGGATTGCTTTAAGGTGTAAATTTATAATTTCTATCACAGCAGGAGGGAGTGCTGATGGCTAATGCTAAGGAATTATGCTGTCAACTCAAAGGTACACAGTTTGAATCCACTAGGTGCTCTGTAGGAGAAAGATGGAAGGACAGTCTCCACCTATGTGATTTACAGCCCCTAAAAGCCCTCTGGAGGGTCAGCTATGAGTCAGTTCTGAGTAGATGGTATTCAACAACCATGGAAGGCGACATGTGTAAAGTTTGCATTTTAGAGTAGTGTTACTTGCCTTAGGAAAGAAGAACAAAGCTGCCTTAATTATACAAACATAGAGTTTTATTGCTTTTTTTCTTTCCTACCTTAATATTTTCTAGTCTGGCCTAATCTATAAAATATGGAGATGATACTTAAGATTCTAGCAGGTTACAGAATGTAAATGATTATGCCTGGGATTCTGCTGCTATTTTAAAGTAGAGTAGTAGATAAAGGCACAATCTATATCTGCAGTTTTCAGTCTCTAGAAAAAATCTTTCCTATAGAGCTGCTTTGCCATCTGGTCAGAGGGCAAAAACCTTTCCTCATTAAATATTTTATGATCTCATTTTTTCTAGCAGGGCTTGATAGCCTGCTAATGGAATAACCCTAGCCATGAGCTTAGAGTATATTAATATAAACTATAAAAGAGTAGCTTTAAAGATTTGATTTAAATTTTGTAGCAACAATACTAGAGAGCTCTGATGACCTTATGGTAAGAAGCTATGCTGCTGACCTGAAGGCATGCATTTTTAAATCCACCAGTTGCTCCATGGGAGAAAGATGGACAATCTGTTGTGCAATTTTCTGCCTCTGGAGAACGCACTGGAGAGCCAGCTATGGGTTGGTTCTGAGTTCATGGAATATAACAAGAATAACAAACAGCAACAAACAATACTGTTATTTTTCTAAGTTAGAAAATGTACTAATATTACTTCTTTTGTATGTAAACATAATGCACCTATTTTACCGATATTTAGAGTTTCATGCTTTTTGAACTCTGTGGTAGTTGAAGTATGTTTGGTTTGAGCTGTTTCTAGTCTTTTCTAGTCTCTCCCCACCCCTCAATTATATAGATATACATCTGTGTTATTGTTTGGTGCAGTCGAATCAGAGTTGACTCACAGCTGATCCTCCAGTGTGTTTTCATAGACTGTAAATGACATGAGAGGAGATTGCCCATAAGAACAGCTGGTGGATTCAGATCATATAGCTCCTTACCCATGGGCTGTTAGAGCTCTCTCAATGTGAGCTGTCTATAATCTTTTCTCCTTCCCCAACTATAGAGGTCGGTGTCTATAAGATTATAGATCAAAAATTAGGAGACTACACTTGAAACAAAGAATATCTTGATTGATATTTTGGTAGGTCATATATAGCTGTTTCTGTTTTATTGTATATTTAAAATAATTTTCATTTTCAGGTAGTAGAATTTATATCACTTTTGAGAATTCTTTTTTTTGAGGCTTGATTAAGTATACAATTAATATCATGTAACATTTTTTATTTTCTTCATCCAGACAGGTGATTTGGCTTCTGCACAGTTAGGAGGAGCGCCAAATCGATGGGAGGTTTTGTCAGCTACGCCTACAACTATAAAAGATGAAGCTGGTAATCTAGTACAGATTCCAAGTGCTACTACTTCAAGTGGGCAGTATGTTCTTCCTATTCAGAATTTGCAGAATCAACAAATATTTTCTGTTGCACCAGGATCAGAGACATCAAATGGTACAGTGTCCAGTGTTCAATATCAAGTAATACCACAGATTCAGTCAACAGATGGTCAGCAGGTTCAGATTGGTTTCACAGGCTCTTCAGATAACGGGGCTATAAATCAAGAAAGTGGTCAAATTCAGATCATTCCTGGCTCTAATCAAACTTTACTTGCCTCTGGAACACCTCCTAGTAATATCCAGGATCTTATACCACAGACTGGTCAAGTCCAAGTTCAGGGAGTTGCACTTGGTGGTTCATCTTTTCCTGGCCAAACTCAAGTAGTTGCTAATGTGCCTCTTGGTCTGCCAGGAAATATTACCTTTGTACCAATCAATAGTGTCGATCTAGATTCTTTGGGACTCTCTGGCAGTTCTCAGACAATGACTGCAGGCATTAATGCCGATGGACACTTGATAAATACAGGACAAGCTATGGATAGTTCCGACAATTCAGAAAGGACTGGTGAGCGAGTTTCTCCGGATATTAATGAAACTAATACTGATACAGATTTATTTGTGCCAACATCATCATCTTCACAATTGCCCGTGACTATAGATAGTACAGGTATATTACAACAAAACACAAATAGCTTGACCGCTTCTAGTGGGCAAGTACATTCTTCAGATCTTCAGGGAAATTATATCCAGTCGCCTGTTTCTGAAGAGACACAGGCTCAGAATATTCAGGTTTCTACAGCACAGCCTATTGTACAACATCTACAACTTCAAGAGTCTCAGCAGCCAACCAGTCAAGCTCAAATTGTGCAAGGTATTACACCACAGACAATCCATGGTGTGCAAGCCAGTGGTCAGAATATATCACAACAAGCTTTGCAAAATCTTCAGTTGCAGCTGAATCCAGGAACCTTTTTAATTCAGGCACAGACAGTGACCCCTTCTGGACAAATAACTTGGCAAACTTTTCAAGTACAAGGGGTCCAGAACTTGCAGAATTTGCAAATACAGAATACTGCTGCCCAACAGATAACTTTGACGCCTGTTCAGACTCTCACTCTTGGTCAAGTTGCAGCAGGTGGAGCTTTGACTTCAACTCCAGTTAGTCTAAGCACTGGTCAGTTGCCAAATCTACAGACAGTTACAGTAAATTCTATAGATTCTACTGGTATACAGCTACACCCAGGAGAGAATGCTGACAGTCCTGCAGGTATGTTTATTTTGACATAGTATTTGTTAGAAAAGTAAATTGTGTCTTTTATTTTACAGATAAATGTAATGATTTGTTAACGGGAACTTTTTGCTTTTGATGTTTATCAGTTGTCTTTAAAAATGATACATTTCCCAGTGTTTGTGTAAAAGTTGACATCAAAGTATCTTCCAAGTTGTTCTCTAGTAAATGTTTGTAATTTTTTGAGCACTGACTTCTATATTGTATGTTAGTTTTCATTTTCTCCTGTGTCACTTTTGTATTTGTTTTCTGATACTATTATAAAGTTAGCAAAATTTTATTTGGCAGATAAATTGCCTTGGTTGGTTTCAGTTTGATGTCGGTTAAACGGTTAAACGTTTTATGAATTGATTGGTTGGAGAATCAGGTTGACATAGTGAAAGCATAATTTGAATTCAGGACTACTTATATACTTTGTTGAGGGATATCTGCTTGTGTGTCCATACGTTGTTACCCTAAAGTTTACTGGTTCAAATCCACCAGTTGGTCTGAGGGAGAAATACGAGTAAGCTGATTCCCATGCAGTTAGTTTATATAGCCTCTGAAAACCTGCTGGAGAGTCAGTTTTAAGCCGATTCTAACCTGATGGCATTGGGTTTGAGTTTGGGTTTGTTTACTGCTTTAGGGAGCTCTGGTGGTGGTGTTTGTGGAGAGTTGGACTTTTAGCCCAAAGATAGTGCACCTCTGTCCCTTTGAAATTACTGTTGACTCCTCATAACAAAGTTGGACAGTATCCTCTTGTGTGACTTAACAGCTTCCTTAAAAATCACTGGAGCATCAGCTGTTAGTTCTAATGACAATGAGGTATTTTTGTTTTTTAGATTTAAGGAGCCCTGGTTAATGTAGTGGGTAACAGGTTGGGCTGCTAATGGAATGATCAACACTTTGAGTTCAACCTAGTCATTCTGGGACAAAGATGGACAATCTATAGCTTTGGAAACCCGATGGTTACTTGACAGTCCTGAGGGGTTTTTTGTTGGTGTGGTGTTTTGTGTTTTTTTTTTAAGCCGGGAGAGAGAGAGAGAGAGAGTGTGTGTGTGTATATACTGTTTGGCTACTAGCTAGCTATATGTTTTTTTCCAGCCAAGCCATTTTTGTTCTTTTGTGACCTCAGTTTCCCTACCATGAAACTAGGAACTATATTTAGGGTCATTTCCAGACCTAAAATTTTTGACAGTATATATATAGTATTATGTCTTAATATGATAGCCTTGTTTCTATTGATAATATGAGTAGAAATTTCAGAAGTCCATTCTCTGAATGTTGTGCAATAATTACTAGCTTTAAAAAAATATCATTGCAACCTTAAAAATGTTACTTTTTGAGAAACCTTTTATAGACTTTTCTGTGCATCACATCCTTAACTTTGTTACTTTAATTTTTCTAGTTTGTATTTGGGTTTTGATGGAGTTTAGTATTTCAACTTCATACTGAGTCAGTGATTGTAAATTCTTAACTATAATAACATGAACTTAGCTTATGTAACACTGTTCACTCTTCAAATATTTTCATTTTGGGGGGTGGAAGTTGATAATGTTTAAATAATTGGAATTGCCCTAGAGTCTCAGATTAGTTTTAGATAACCTGTAATTGTATTTGAGTCTTCTGAAGCTGTGCCTTAGTGCAATAGTACTCAAAATAAAGCCTTTAGGTCCCTTGATAACAGAAGTATTTTTATGATAACTTCTTGTTGTTAGGTACCATTGATTTGGAACTGACTTCGAGTTGACCCTCCATTGGGTTTTTAGAGATGGTAAATCACATGGGTAATTTACCTTTCTTTTTCTCCCATATGGCAGCTGGTGGATTCAAATCACGTGCCTTCACATTGATAGTGTAGTTTCTTGTCTTTTGCATGAATCAAGGCATTGAAACCAAAGTTGTGATATTCTTCATGACCATGTATTTAGTTTTGAAAATTCCAGTTTCACTGAAAAATATCCTTGATGAATCCCTAAAATTAATTACTAGTATTGGCCCTTGATTGCTCTGTGTGTGTGTGTGTGTGTGTGTGTATATATATATAATTTTTTTAAGATCTTGTTGAAGTAGAATTCATATACCCTGGCATTCATTCTTTAAAGTATATGAAAATTCAGTAATATTTATTTAGTGTAGTCACAATATTCTGTCACTATCAAATTTAATTGTAGAACATTTTCATAACCCCAGAAAGAAACTTTGTACTTGGTAGAGTACAACAACATAGAGAGAGCTCTGTTGGCCTAGTGGACAGATATTGATGCTATGAAGACAAAGGTGGGTGATTTTAATCTGCGGCCCTCAGGCCTGGTTTTGATTGTTTTTGGTCAAATATTCTTCTGAGCAGTTAGCACTGGTCTGTCTATTTGCTGTACAGAGGTAACTGTGGTTGCTCTGATTCTAAATACTGTGACTCTGTCAAATGCTATAATGGTTACCCATGGTGGACAGTGTTTGGTGGAGCTTCCGATTAAAACAAGCTTGGAAGCAGGAGTGGCATCCACTTCCAAAACATCTTGCTTCCGGAAAGTCTGTGAACTTGGAGAAAAGATGAAAGTTTTACAGGTGTTCAGGTCTTTTGTTCATAGGGTCACTATGAGTTGTCTACACTCGATGGCACTTAACAACAACTTAGTAAAGGTAATTTACCCATTTTCCTTCCTGTTGTCCTCTCTAAATTAGTAATCTGCTGTTGATCCTCTCTGGATTTGTCATTTTAAGATATTTTCTGTAAGTGGAACCATACAGTATGTGACTTCTGGTGCCTAGCTTTTTTTTTACCATAATGTTTTTTATACAGGCTTATCTGTATTGTAGCATGTATTAGTATTCTTTATAAAGATATTTCAGTAAGTCTTCTAACACAGATAATGGCAGATTCTTCCATTTGCTTGTCAATATTCCTCCCTCTCTTCCCTAATCAATGCTGATTGTTTTTACATGTTGCTGTATAAGTTGGCCTAGTGTGCTTACAAAAAATGGGATGGAGAGGATGGCTTGGCAAGTACAATAGAAGCCATGCATTAGTTGTTATATGATTAAAATATGGAGTATGCCACATTTTATCCAGTTAGCAGTTAATAATAATTTGGATTTTTTTTTTGACAGTTATAAATGCTGCTGCTGTGAACCTTTGTGTACAGTGTTTTGAGTAGCCATGTTTTATTTTTTTCTTGATTATACCTAGGAGTAGGAATTGCTGGGTCATAGGGTAACTTTTTGGGGAATTGTGAAACCATTTTCCAAACTGACTATTGGCATTTTATATTCCTACCAGCAGTTTTTGTTGTTGTGTACTGTCTAGTCAGAATGACCCATCACTGACCCTCTAGTGGGATGAGATTGTCCACCTTTCTCTTAGGAACAGTTTTTAGGGCTACTTTTTAATCTATCTCCATCAAACATGTTATTGTCCATTGTTTCTGTTATAGCCATCCTGGTGGGTATGAAGTGATATTTTGTTTTTGATTTGCATTTCCTGCTCTGTGTGTCCTTTTAATATTTTCTGTAGTTGAACATGAAGCATGCTTTAATACACACTTTTTCAAACTAGAATAAGATAATTGTCTTTGAAAAAAGAATTTTTCCTTTCCGATTGTTCACTTGTGTTAGTTAAAAGAGCAGATAGATGCTATTTTGTGGAGTGGTAATTTTAATTGGAGGACCAACTGACCAACTAGATGTTGAGACTTATTTAAAGGATAGATATTTTTGGGTGAAAATTGAAGTTGAGAAAATGTGAAAGTTGAACTTGATAGTTTCCCAGTACTTACATATTTTTCATAAGTAGTGACACTAATGGGAATTTAAAAAAATACTTGTAAAAGGAGCGGAGGCGCTATAAAGTTGCTGGTATTTGACTTTTCCCTGCTTCATAAAGTGGAACTGTCCCCCTCAATAATAATAGCCATAGCAACAAACAGCTACTTGTTCAGACAAGTCACTCCTCATGCTCTTGCACCTATTTCCACAACCACTGGATTCAATATTGTTGACTCACAGACTTTACTCACTGTTGTGGTAGTTAGTAAATTTGGGGTTTATTAGGGAAGTAAGTTGGAGAGTAGAGGAGACAAAGAATATCACCCACTGTAAGTACAGGGTTTAGCCCTGCAGTCCCAAGCTGGATTAACAGCAATGCATAATTCCTCAATTAGTAAATGTCCCGATTAAGTTCAGTGGCACAAAAGCAAATCATCCAGCAATGTTTGCCTCAAAGCTTCTAAGTCAGCTTTTAATAAGAGCATCTTGTCATCATTTAATACGTTAATGTCTTGTCATCTGGCAAGAACAGCAAAACCTTTACCTGTGGCCTTTATCTCAGGGCTGCTCTGGTTGTACCTTGCCACAGTTTCTCCACAGCAATGCCACGTTTCTCCACTATCACCACCAGGGTGTTGTTCTTACCAAAATTTTGCTCCAATTTCTCTCATCTTGCTGCCCAGTGTGGGAAGCACTCTTTTCTCAACCTACTCCTACAGCTATTGATGATCTGCAACGCCAGCTGTATGTCTACAGTTAAGGTAGCTGGAGACTAGAGGGGGCTAATGTAATGACTAGAAAAGCCAAATTTTAAGCAAACACTGCAATATTATAATGGAATATGTGAGCACTTAGTAGATCTGTATAAGTCAATGAACAAGTGTTTTTTAAATGACCATCTATCTACCCCTCAATTATTTATCCAAATTATTTAAGTCCAAAACAGACCCATAATAGAATATAGAAAGTTCATTGATAAGGTTGCAAATTTACATAGCAGTTTTTAAGAAGTTTCTACTTGAGAAATAACAAATAACAAAACATATTCACAATTGGCTGAAAAGACTGTTGAATTATTTTTTCCTTTTTTCAGCCCTCTCTGGGGGACTAGAAATTTTTAAGAACTGCACCCCAGAACATGGATTGAAAAATTAGACTGCAGGAGCAGATATGAAACTTGGACTTTCTTCTTTTAAACTTAGTCATTAAAAAGTTTTGAAAAACATAAACCATAA